TTTGTGCAGAACCAGGTACTTCGAATCGGGTTGGTTTTGAGTCTTATGCTTGGTGTGGCTGGAGATTTTAAGGTATACCTGCTGGGCATTTGCAGGCACCGAAGTCACCTTCTATTGTATTTATTTTTATTGTTTTCTTTTGTTCCGGAACAGTGATGTATTCATTATGTATAACTACTCCTAGAAAGGCTTATGACTTGTACTACCGGTTTTGGGATTTTAAATTGTATAGAGATTTCTATTTCGAAATTGTTTGATGTTAGCAAATATTATCGTTATTTCTGTTAATGTTAGGCTTACCTAGTTTTAGAGAGTAGGTGCCATCACGACTCCTTCGAAGGGATTTTGGGTCGTGATACTAAATCCCCTAATTTTATGCATCAATAATGGATTATATATAAATTATATGTAAACCTTGTTTAGGTCGGGTAATATACAAAATTAAGAGAATTTTGGTAAATAAGTTTCAAATATTGTATAGGAACGAAAAAAATCCCATCGGGGAAATGTACTTCAGTAGTTCCACTACATAAAATTGAAAATCCGTTACTCACATCTTGAAACATTAGCTCACACATTCAATAATTTTTCTATAATATAGAAAAGGTCAGGTTTCGACCTGCCAGCTTAGTGGAATTAAAATTCAAGTTGAGGGCATATTAATCATTTAACTTCTAAGCTAATAAAGTTGTATTACGTGGGCTTTTTCCCATCACCCACTGCATACTCTCATTCGTAGCACCTTCACTGGGTTAGCTCCTCTTTGTTGGCGTCAACTTTCTTCTCTCTACACTTTTTTTGTTGAATTCTCTAGTTTGTTGTGAATTTCACTCTCAATACAAAATTATGTATCTATTTGAGCTTAATCCAAAGTTCTATTTAACTTTAATTTCTGGTCAGTTTAATTCTAGGCTATATACATATAAGATTTTTCTAACCTACTATAGGTGTAGTAGGTTAGCATTGTATGCACTTTTGAGTTCTCAAAATACCCCCTAGCATCACATCAACAACATATGAACTAATTGGGATTTTTTGTCATTTCCTTGTTCAATTCTCTTCTTCGCCCTTTCAATCCAGCGTCAGAATTTCAAGGATATAAAATTAGGCTCCATTTAGGTGAAATCCCCATTTTTTAACTCTTCCTCCTTCACAAGAAACATTATTAACATTAACCCAAAAACTAACCCACTTTCAGAGAGGATTAACATATTTTTAACTCCCGCACCTCCTCCTTTCGAAGAAGCACCAAGAACTAAACTCCAACAAGGACTGAATCTCAAAAAATGATGTATTTTTGTTTATCAGATTTCCAACATATCAATTCTTAAATTCAACCGTCAAAAGTTAAGCCAAATCTAACCAATTTCTTTGGGTGAAACTTCCTATATTTTTAAGTGTGATGACCCGATAGGTCATTTTGAGATTTAGCCTTTATTTCAGCATTTTCGAGGATTCGATTAGCTTTGCTTAGTGATCCTCGATTTACATGCGGAGTCCGTGCCTTATTCCAAAAAATCTTCATGTGAAAAATTGAAAAAAATGTAAATTTTTTCTTTAAAAATGACTTGAGTTGACTACGATCAACATTTTACGTAAACGGACCAGGATCAGTGTATTGACAGTCCCACTGGATCTGTATTGTGATTTGGGACTTGGGCGTATGCTCGTAATTGAATTCGCAAGTCCCTAACTTGTTTTGACTCATTTTGCCGAAAACTAGCATTTTTGAAAGTTGAAGAATTACAAGGTTTGACCGAAAGTTGAATTCTTAGCTAACGGGTTCAAATCTTGATGTTAAAACTTGGAATAGTTCCGTATTGCTATTTGAAACTTGTCTGCAAAATTTGGTTAAATTCGGAATTTATTTGATATGATTCGGACGCTTAAATGTGATTCTAGTGTTCTTGAGTTTCACTTTAGAAGTTCATTCGTTTTGAAGAGTGATTCGTCGATTTAGATATTATTTTGGTGATTTGATTGCGCGAGCAATTTTGTATGACGTTATTATATTTGTGTGCATGTGTGTTTGGAGCCTGAGGGGCTCGGGTTAGTTTCAGACGTGTTCAGGATGAGTTTTGCATAGAAGAAGTCTGATGGTATAATACCAGTTCTGGTGTACTGTTGCAGATCTCACAATTGTAGGTCTGGCTCACAATTGCGAGCCTCGCTTTTGCGAAGAATTATTCGCATTTGCAAGCATGGGTTGGGATGGGTGTAACTCGCATTTACGAGAAATAGTTCGCATTTGCGAAGGTGTGGTCGCAATTGCGATCACTGACCACCAATGTACTGCTTCGCAATTGCGAATTTAAGGTTCGCATTTGTGATGGTTCTGGATTCGCATTTGCGACCTTAATATCGCATTTGCGACTTTTGCTCTTCAGTGGCATCGTTCGCAATTGCGGCCCTTATTTCGCATTTGCGATGTTCGCAATTGCGAACAAAACATGGCAATTTTGACATCTGTAGCTGGGCAAAAGAGGGAAAAAGAGGACTCAGCTTATTTCTCACAATTTCTCAACCCTAAACACCTTAGAGGCGATTTTCCAAGAGACTCTTCTTCCTAAATTAATTAGTAAGTGACTTTAATCCATTTCTTTTCAATTACCCATTACATTTCATGAAATTTCAACATTCAAATTAGGATTTTCAGGGTAGAAATTAGGGATTTGGGTAGAATTGGAATTTTTTGTAGAATTGGGATTTAGACCTCGAGTCGGATTTCGAAACAAATTACATAACCGGGCTCGGGGGTGAATGTGTGATCGGGTTTTGGTACGAATCTTGGTTTTGACCAAGCGGGTCCGGCGTTGACTTTTTCAAAATTGATTTAAATTGAATCTCTTCTATTGTGGATAGTTTCTAATGTTTATTTTGAATCATCTCGTCAATAATTTACTCAATTTGATTAGTTTGGAGTCTTATTCAAAAGGCAAGGCCGTGGTTGAGTGATTGCTTGAGTTGGAGCGAGGTAAGTATTGATTCTGACCTTGATTTGAGAAAATTAGGAACCCTTGAACTATATATTATGTGAATTACGTGTGTAACAGGGTATATGCGAGGTGACGAGTATATATATGCCATCAAAATAATTGTTCCCATGTCTTTTTCGTATTTCATGAATTATCTCACTCCATGCCTTTAACTGTTACATGCTTTAAATGCTTTCTATGCCATAATTTGTTACTTGTCATTAATTATTCTTGCATTGAATGGTTCGTTCCTTCCATGACCCTATGATTAATTGCTAATTGCCTTAATTATCATACTTGCATACCTTAATTGTAACGTACTTGACTTGTCTTGTTGCTTTTGTATTATTTGTAGCACTCTTTTGATTAGTATGTGGGTCAAGAACCAAAACTCTACCCTATCGTGATGGCGCCTATCAGGTACTAGGAAAGATGACACCTTTCAAAAACAATTCGGTATTTCATTAAAAGATAAGTCAAAGCTTTTTCATAATCAAGATTTCATAAAAGAGTTAAACTCAAGATAGAATGCGGAAAAGATATGCCCGACATCGGGGTGTCACTAAGTCATGAGCATCTACAACCAGTCTAGAATTCAAAGTTTACAATAGTCTGCCAAATGCCAAAAACATAAAGAAAGATAACAAAGGATGGAGAGACAAGGACTGCAAACGCTAGCAACTACCTCGTATGGTACGAACTCAATGACCTCCGCGACCGGTCTCACCTGAATCTGCACACAAGGTGCAGGGAATAACGTGAGTACTTCCAACTCAGTAAGTAACAGAAACAAATAAGGAACTGAGAAGCAGTGACGAGCTATGCAAATATAGTTTATTTCAGTAAATTTCAATAAAGAATAGGCATGCTTTCAAATCTAGCCATTTAAGTCAAATCAGCTCGTGCTCAAGTAAACGAGATATTAAGTCTTCCAGAGAGTTGCATAACAAGGATAGATAACAACTAAGTGAAGCAATAATTGAAAGCAAGTACAGTCTCTCAAGACAACAGTCACTCGGCTCATCTCGACAGCTCAATCACTCGACTCTCAGCCCTCAGTACTCACACTCAATAGGTACCTGCGCTCACTGGGTGTGCAGACTCCGGAGGAGCTCCTTCCGCCCAAGCGCTATAATCTGCACGGACAACTCACGTGCTTCACAGACAACTCATGTGCTATAATATCAATACAAACCCGCACGGACAACACACGTGCCAGTCCGGAGTCGTCTTTACACAGCTCCGACTAAGGTTCAAATACTAAGACTTAAGCCTCCGTTAGGGACTAAGTGTCCCAAAACGCTCCAAAAATCAAAACAAAATCTCCCGGCAAGTCGCATAAGCAGAAAAAGATACGGGGAAAGCAAAAAATAAGGGATAGGGGCTATAACTCTCAAAACGACCGGCCGGGTCGTTATAGATTATCTCTTGTTCGTGAATTTGGGCGTATGCAACTGCTTCCACCCATTTAGAGAAGTAGTCAGTCAAAACTTAAAGGAATTTAACATTACCTCGTCCTGGCAGAAGCGGTCTCACGATGTACATTCCCCACTTAATGAACGACCATAGAAAGGTGACGGAATGGAGGTGCTCGCCTGCTTGGTGGATTATTGGGGCATACTTTTGGCACTGTTCGCACTTCTTTACGAATTCCAGGGTGTCTTTCTTCATGGAAGGCTAATAGTATCCTGCCTGTATGAGGCATTTGACAAGTGCTTGGTCGCCGAAGTGACTGCCATAGTTGCATTTGTGGACTTCCTCGAGGACGTATTGGGTTTGATTCGGTACCAAACACTTTGCTAAGGAGCCGCCATACGTTCTCTTCTACAACTCATTGTAAAGGAGGTTGTATCTTTCCGCTTGCATTCTCAGCTTCATGGCTTCTTTTTTATCATTTGGGAGGGTGCCGTCCTACAAATAGTTTATAATACAGTTGCGCCAGGTCCCATGTTAGGTTTACAAATTTTACCTCGATGTGGTCTGGTGCTGAGCTGAGGAGATGTACCAAACTCCTGTCCCATAGAGTTATGTTTTTTTCGCGGTGGCCAATTTTGCGAGGTCGTCCGCCTCGACATTTTTAGTTCGTGAAATCTGGTCGAGCTGGCATTCGTCAAATTTGGGTAACAATTTGCATATCTCGATTTGGTATTTCTGTAACCTTTGTTCTTTGATCTGGAAAGTCCCAGTAACTTGGTTGATGACGAGATGAGAGTCGCAGTATAGCCTTAGACGTCTCATCCCATATTCGAGTCTGAATCCTGCAATTACGGCCTCATACTCGGCCTCAGTGTTAGTCATATCTGGGCACCTTATAGATTGGTGAACGACTTGACCAGTGGGAACTTCAAGCACGAGTCCCAGTCCAGACGCGCATGCATTGGATGCACCGTCAGATGGCGCCAACTGTATAACACAAAAATTAGATCTAGTTTTTTATACCACTAGATTTATAGAAAAAGAAGGTTAATCAAAGTTAATATTAATATTCAATAGCAGATCTAGTAATTTTATGGAGGATATTAAATGTGTGCTATTAGATAAGAATATCCTAGAACAATAATGGAGCAATAAAGGCTTGAAACGTAAAAGATAGCAATAAATGATAATAAATGGCGTTTAAGTAATAAATGGGACACGGTTCACCCAACAATGGTGAGATTTTTCACTAAGCTATATGACAATGATGGATGATGATAAGCAGTTGAATATTTCGATTTTTCATGGATTGGGAGAGAAAGATAAAAGAAAATAAGTGTAAAGTTAGGCTTTGTATGTATTCAATAAAGAGAGAATCTTCATAGAGAATGTCAATAATGTTCTTTAAAATACAATATTCGATACCTTTCTAGAACTACATCCCTTCCTATTTATAAGAGTATATGGACCACAAAACCTTAGATATATTTACAATAGAAAGGAATATTCTCTAGGGAATCTAAATCTTAAAACTAGTTGTTACTGTGCGCTGAAGACGGATGCTCGTCCTTGTCCTCGTCTTCCATTAAACCATCTCGACCTCGACGACAATTTTTCTTCTTCACATGACCTCGACATTTTGGGGTCAGGTCGATACGGCACAACATTGACACGTCACAATCTTCAAAGGCTTTATCACTGTTGACCATATCAAATGCGTGAAATGAAGCATTTCGCCCATACACATTTAAATGTGGAATATACTGATTTCACACCTAGGTAACACTGTATAAGTTAACAAGGGTTACTAAATTGAATTGTTATTTTTCAAATTAATTTGGATGCTTTCTTCATCTTCATTATTTTATGTAGCAAAAAGAAAAGAAAGTTTTTTTCTCAGCTAATTATTACCAAGTGATTTTTAACTAACTAAAGCTATGCACAATGTCCAGCTCAGGGCGGACCCACGTGTATTATAGAGGGTTCAAATGATCCCACTTGATCGAAAAAATATACTGTTTATATATATAATTATCATCTAAAACAGAAAATACAATATTTCAATAATTGATAAAATAATTAATTATTTCAAACGCTCATCACGGTCCAAAGTTCGAGTCTTCATTACAACACTTGCTCTATCTTTTGACACATATTGATTATGTTTGTATTTTAGGAACGATCAAAACATACGTACAAGGAGGGGGCTGAATATCAGTTCAAATGTAAGATGGATTTTAGCTATGAGTATATGAAACACTAATCAAGTTGTAATCCCTTTATATTAGGAATAGAATAGAGAATCAGTTATTTCTCCATCCTTGCGCTCTCTCTCTTTCTCATTTTCGACTCCGAAAATACTCTGCTATACCCACTCTCTTCGATTCCCACTATATGCCACCATTGAGCAATGAATCTCAGCATAAAATAGTGCAACTTCTCAGGAGATTAAACTATTATTGGAGTTATTTTCTTATTTGTCCTCTTTGAAAATCTCGAGTTTGTATTAATGAAGTCATCCAGGTATTTTTTTGGTTCAAAATCATGAAGCATTCAGATTGGTAGTAAAGTCTAAAAGTAATTTCAAGTTGATAACCATTAAAATATTTCAAAGCTTTAAAATCGAATTTGGGTTTACAAAAACTATTTTGTTTGGATTGAGTGTTGTTACAACGTATAGAATATTCTTTGGAGTTTTATATCTCAATTTTGTGAGAGTTTGGTGAACATTATAGTTGGTTTTTGCTGGATTTCAAATTAAAACTCGAAGAAAAAGAAGAAGAGCACAACACATACAATATACATACAAAATTGTACTAAAGTTGCATTCTGTTGTGATTATATATATATTTTTTTATATTTGAATGTTGTATGAAAGTTGAAAAATAATTGTATAATGTATGAATCATTGTATTAGATTATTATTTAAGTTATAAATACGATCTTTTTACATAAAGTTGTTGATATGTATTAAATTTGTATTATGAGAGGATGTTATGATTGGAATTTCATAGCATAAGTAGAACACACACATACAAAATATATATAAATCATATACAAAATATATACTAAAGACATATTATAGAAAAAAAATATGTATGAAAATTTTATTTAAATTGTATGATATTGTAGTTATATTAAGGATAAAAATAATATATGAAAGTTGTAAGCAATTCAATTACATGTTTTATACAAATAGTGAAACACATGCGATAAGGATATTATTTTAGTTATGCAACAATCCAGAAACTTGAAAATACAATTAATTCTTATTTCAAATGTAGCACCACTTAAAGTATCCTCTATGATTTTTCAAGCAAACATGACGTGCTTTATATTGTTTTAATGTTGTTTCGGACTGATACATGTGAGATACTCGTATCTAAGAATATGATCTTAAAAAAAATAGAATATGAAGGTAAAAAGGGTGTAAAGAGGCGGCGAATTAAGATACATTCCCTATTAAATTTGAAGTCTTAGAATTTTTTTCTATAATACTCGTAACTAAGAGTAACCCATATATTTTGGCACTCAATTAAGGGATTATTAGGTGGAGAGAGGCGTAAAAGAATAAGGAAAGAGGAGAGGAGAGAAAAAGGAAAAAGGGTGTAACTAAATGTAACGATCTGACTGGTCATTTTAAGAATTTGCACTTCGCTCGAGAGTTTGGGGGCACAAGTAGGCTCCGTATGATGTATTAGGACTTCTGTGCAAAATTTGAGTTCATTCCGAGTTGATTTGATATGTTTCGGCGCGAGTTTTTGGAATTTAAAAGTTCGAAAGTTCATTAAATTTGATTTGAAGTGCGTTTCGTTGTTTCGATGTTGTTGTGCGAAATTTAAGGCCTCGAGTTGGTCCGTATTTTGTTATGGGACTTGTTGTGTAACGACCCGACTGGTCATTTTGAGCTTTTGCACTTCGATCGCCAGTTCTCGGGCATGACTTGTCCTGTGCTATGTATTATGACTATGTAGATCGTTGGTTTTGGTTTTTAGGAAAATTTGGAATGAATTTGGAAGAACAGTTTCAGTTGAAAAGCTTGGAATTTGGAAGGTTTGACCAAGAGTTGACTTATTTGTATACGAGCTCGGATCGGAGTTTTTATGATTTGGTTAGCTTCGCTGGGTGATTTATGACTTAGGAGCGTGATCGGAATTGGTTTTGGAAGTCCGGTGTAGAATTAGGCTTGAATTGGCGAAGTTAGTATTTTGGCGATTTCCGGTTGATAGGTGAGATTTTGATCCAGGAGTCGGAATGGAATTCCGAGAGTTGATGTAGCTTCGTTATGTGATTTGTGATGTGTGCGCAAAATTTCAGGTCATTCGGACGTCGTTTGGTTGGGTTTTTGATCGAATGCGTGTTTTGGAAGTTTTTGGAAAACTTAGGCTTGAATTCGATGTGAATTGATTGTTTTGGTGTTGTTTGAGGTGTTTTGGTGATTGGAACAAGTTTTAATGAGGTTTTAGGATGTGTTGGTGCTTTTGGTTGAGGTCCCGGGGGCCTCGAGTGAGTTTCGGATGGTCAACCGGACCATTTTTGGAGTTTAGAAGTTGCAGAAATTGAAGGTTCAGTGTTGCAGAGATTTATCTCTTCGCGTTCGCGAGAGGAGCCTTGCGTTCGCGTAGAAGGAATTTTGAAGGCAGGAATTTAAGCCTTCGCGTTCGCGCTTGAGGGCTCGCGTTCGCGAAAGGCTGGGAGCTGATGCTTCGCGTTCGCAGGAGGTTGTTCGCGTTCGCGTATAAGGATTTAGGTCCAGGAGCAGTTGTTCTTCGCGTTCGCGTATGTGGGACCGCGTTCGCGTAGGTATATAAGGCTAGTGCATCGCGTTCGCAGGGAGTAGGTCGCGTTCGCATAAGGTTGATTTTGGGAAATTAAAATGTGTACTTCGCGTTCGCGAGGCTGAGGTCACGAATGCGGTGAAGGAGGGGTCAGTGCTGGGCAGAATGTTTTAAGGCACTTCATCCGCGATTTTTGGGTCATTTTTCCTCCATGGTTGATCATTTTGAGAGCTTTTTGGTGGAGATTAAAGAGGGATTCAAGGGAAATCGATTGGAGGTAAGATTTTTGAACTTAAAACTCGTTTTCATTGTGTAATCTACCTAGAAATTCATGGAAATTAAGCCTAAAATTGAAGAACTAGGGCTTGGGATTTTGAAATTTGATTTAGGGATTTGAAGGACCATTTGAGGTCGGATTTGAGAACTTTTGGTATGTATGAACTCGTGAGGAGATAAGGAACGTATTGATGTGAAAATTTTCGAGTTTCGAGAAGTGGGCCCGGGGCTCGGGTTTTGCTAATTTCGAGATTTATGATATTTTTCGATTGTTTTCGACTGGGTATTGTTCCATTGGCATATTGTGACGTATTCGATTTGGTTTTGGATAGATTCGACGCGCGTGGAGGCCGATTTGACGGGCAAAGGCGTCGCGAGCTACAGATTTCGCCGGTTCGAGGTGAGTAATGATTGTAAATGATATCCTGAGGGTTTGAAACCCGGATTTGCACACCGTAGTGCTATATTGAGGTGACTTGCACGCCGGATAGCGAGCGTGGGGTAGAGCACCATTGGGGATTGTGACTTGGTCCGTCCCGATTGATGATTTTTCCGCGTATTTGACTGAAACTTATTTGTTATTATCATGATTTGGGCTGATTGCCATATTTGGGCTTCGTGCCAATTATTTTAACCCTTCGGGGATTTTATCACTGTTTTGACGTATTGTTTCAACTCAGTCCTGTTGATATTTACAGATTTACAAGCTCAACCAAATTTTACTCAGATTTGAAACTTAAATGATATTTTGGGCTGAGAACTACTGTTTTACAAATGCCCGAGGAGCTTGTGATGATTTTCGGACTGAGTGAGGCCGAGGGCCTGAGATACTTTATGTGCCACGAGGTGACTTGAGTGATGTGAGGAGGCTTTCAGGCCTTATGAGTGATGTGAGGAGGCTTTCAAGCCTTATGAGTAATGTGAGGAGGCTTTGAGGCCTTATGAGTGATGTGAGGAGGCTTTCAGGCCTTATGAGTGATATGAGGAGGCTTTCAGGCCTTATGAGTGATGTGAGGAGGCTTTCAGGCCTTGTGAGTGATGTGAGGAGGCTTTCAGGCCTTATGACTGATGTGAGGAGGCTTTCAAGCCTCGTGTGTGATGTGAGAAGGCTTTCAGGCCTTGTTTTATATGCCACCAGGTGGCTTGATATTGCGATTGGGCCGTAAGGGGCCCCTCCCGGAGTCTGCACACCCCCAGTGAGCGCCGTCGACGATATATGGATCGGGCTGCACGCCGCAGCGAGTTGTGGATCGGGCTGCACGCCGCAGCGGTTACTATATGATACTGTTCTGAGAGTGATATGAGAGAGAGAGCCCGAGGGGCTGAGAGTGTTTCTGAGAGTGAGCCCGAGGGGCTGGTACTGTTTTGAGATATTGCCCGAGGGGCGAACTTTTATGTGCTCATCTTGCACATTTACTTGCCTTTTTACCTGTTATACTGTGGTATTTGTGCCCGAGGGGCGGTTTTTCTGTGCTTATCGGCACTAACTGTATTGAAATCATTTCGTAACTGTTGGAAAGATCATTTTAAAAAGAGATTTAAACTGAGCCAAGAGATTTCCAAAGATTTCACAGCTTCACTGTTTTTCTCAAAGGATTGTACCCTGCTTCTATACAGCATGTTGGTTGCTTTACGTGATTTCTTACTGCTCAGTT